ACAAAAACCATATCTATATTGATATAAATCTATTTTTTACAACCATTTTTGATGGTCAACACTATTGTCAACGCATGAGAGCATCAAAATAACTCAATTAACACAACCAGTGATTGTATCAAAAAAGAAAATATACTGAGAAAACCACATGAAAAAAATGCTCAAAAAATCAATAAAACTTTAATACAAAAAAAGTGAGTGAAGAAAGAAAAATGATAAATATTTAAAACACACACTTTTTCAGAGCGTATAACTGTAAAAGCAAAGGACGACTAATTTGATTAGGGTTAAAATGAAATTCCCGTATGATTTCAAATTAAATTTAACCCAAAAACAAATACTGCACTAAACAAAAAAAAACTCGCAACTTATATAACAAGTGTAAAAATGAATTGAGCTCTACCTACAGCTATTCGAGTAGTTTTCGCAGTAATCTTATAAATATTTGATGCAAAATAAAGTTTAATCAAGATTTTTTTTAGCAACAATTGCTCTATAAGTAAGAAAAAATTTCAATTGAAACTTACATTTAAAACTTCCAACCAATCCATACGCCAAACAAATAAACCAAACATTGTTTTAAATCATTTTAATGATTCGGTTTCCTTAGGCTTTATAGAGCGGGCGAATGACTGTTTAAATACACATAACTTACATTTAAAACTTCCAACCAATCCATACGCCAAACAAATAAACCAAACATTGTTTTAAATCATTTTAATGATTCGGTTTCCTTAGGCTTTATAGAGCGGGCGAATGACTGTTTAAATACACACAAATTAACCAAATTATTAAACAAATAATTTAATCAATAAAACAAAACCATAAAACTAATTAAATCTCCATAAATAATTGATTAATGTAAACATTTAAGCCATAGATTACCACAACTATTGGTTTGTCATTAAAGAGATATCCATTCGTTTCGTTGAGAGCTTTGGTGGCAAACGTCTCATCCGGTAGTGTAATGAATGCCTGGCCTTTCATTCGTCCCGTTTTCATCAAACGGATGTCAAACCTAATCAATAGATAATTAAAACACAGTTTAATTATAATTATAATGAAATTAATTAAACATTTCACTTACATATTCCGGTGAACGTCTGATTCCCAGTCAACATATTTGCCATAAATTCTCATCAAATCGTTTGTTTCGACACTTTTATCAATATTTTTAACGTACAATCGTATGGATGTCTGACCGGAGCTATAGTTTTTAAACACCGGGTATTTAATCCACTGACTCTTCAATAACCGATTGGCAGCCAATTCTTCATCAGTAATCATATTATTCTTGTCCCAAACTATTTCCACACACTTTTCAATTTGCTGTTTCTGTTGAGCACTCATTACACCAAAACCACTAACAGAGGGTTTAATTGGGTGTTTGGCGGCCGCGTCGGCCAATTCGTTCATTGATCGACAATCGGATACAATATTGACGGCAATATTGGTCACGAATTTGGGTTCACAAGTGAGCGGCACTTCAAACACATCGGGCAACGATTCCGACGAGGGTTTAGGCTTTGGCTGGCGTTTCAATGGACGCGACTCATCGACAAACACCGCTTTCTCGCCCACAAACCCTGTCCTCAACTTTTTCTTCACTCTCTTCGGGGGTTTCGCCACAATTGCCTTCGCATTGAGATTGTCTTCAGTATCACTGACTTCGAGCTCCGACTCCGACGAACAGACCAACAGACGCTTCTGACCACTCATATCAGTCGCAATGGTATGACTGGCGACGGCGGCCGGGAATGTCAATAGGTTTGGTCGGTTGATGGGGTCGGCGTGAAAGGGCACCGGAAGGTTCATTTTGTTCATCAAATGCAGTACTTGTGTGTAAAACCTCGGATGAGACAGAAGTGTGTGCGCGATATTGTTCACTATCAACGGCGAGGCCGTCGGATAGCTGTACCTCAGCAGCGGTGACGGCAGGTAATTGAGTCCCAGAGCCGGCGACACGTAATTCAATTGATTGAGAAATGCCCTCAACTTTATCTCCTTCAGCGCTTCGGCGCTCTCTTCGTGTGATTTCCTGTTTTTTTGTGGTAAAAAAGGCGTGAAATATGTTTAGACGTTAATTGTATTGTTAATAGTGTTTACTGTTGTCGATGGGGTTCGTTGACGGGCGGCAACTGTTGGACGCGATTGCGGTGACAATTGGTGGCGAACTCCACGCGAAGTCGTTGTCCCAAAACCAAGAGCTGATGCAATCGTGTCATCGCTTCCCGCGATTGGCTCTCCGTCTCGAACACAGCGTACGAATAGTTGGGCTATAAATGCATTCAAAGTATTAGTTTTATTCACTAAACATGTCATTAGTTTGAATTGCAAATAGATTTAGATCTAAATGATGGTAAATGTCGGACCGAATTGGTGACAGTCTTGGCCCCGAAGTGTGCCAACAGGTCCTCTCTTTCATCGTAACTCAGTTTCGGTGATATGTTTTTGATGATCAATGTATCGAGTTTTGTGTCATTCATTGTAATCACAATCACTTTTGATCACAATTATTGTTAATAAATCTGGTTTTTCACGACATCGACAACACGTGCCTTTTGTACGCTAAATATTGCACATGCTTTGAATGTACACATAATCACCATGATCACACCATTAATAATTAGTGATAACATTTATAGTTAAGTTCATAATTAGTGTTAATTGTGTTTAAATCACTCAAAAGTTTTTAATCACAAAATTTTATTTTCAAATTCCGGTATATTTACAAACATTACAGTTGTTATAACAACAGCTCATTCAATAATAACGACATTGAACTTCAAATAACGTATAATAAATTTAATTATTTCCTTAATTTAAACTTGTTTAATTAGAAATTAACATGTTACATTGTACTATCATGGTGATTATTTTTAATAAATTAAGATACTTGATTTTTGTAGCCTTATTTTATAGTTACATAATTAATAATTAATGTAATGATTTTTAAACATCAGTTAATTAAATAAGAGTAACCCGGATATAAAAATATTAATTTGGTTTACGTTAAATATACTTACTAGCTCGTTGTTAATTTAATATAATTAAATTGAACAAAACAGTTATTATAAAACCCATTTATTAATATATTATTATTTTTATATAATATTTATATTTTAATATAAAATACTCATAAATCCGATATTATTAAAGTTAATTGTAAACATAATAAAATACATACAAAAAACTTAATATAATAACTTATAAAAAATTCAATTAATAATACAAACATAAAATAATTTCATTAAAAAATATATATAAAGTATTTTCCAATCAATTGATGCGCTTTTAAATGTATAATAAAGTAAATTTTTGGTTCAATGAGTGGTTTTTTGTGTAAAAATTGTCATTTTTTGTAAGTAAAAAACAAAGTATTTGAAACTTTTATTACACTTTTATAATAATAAAAATTAATCTCTCATTCAATTGCACTTTCGGTTAAATCCTATTAAAATCAAAACTCTTTGTTCAATAATTAAGTCTAAATCATAATAAAAACATAACTTTATAATTAAATGTGGGAAACAATAAATCTGTGGTAAATCTATTGCTCTCTTATGGCAAACACGATATTAGACAAGGCGTTAGTGGCGTCCGATTTGGGAAAGCCTTCCAACGCTTGCAGGGCTTTGTCGGTGTACTCGCGGATCAGTTGTCGGGTTTTGTCGATCGCCGGTCCGTTTCTTACCAATGAATGCAATTTATTAAAGTCATACTGCGGTGAGTTGTCAGCGACACCGGCCTCGCCCTCACCCTCACCGCCGCTCAACACTATCTCATCCAAGGATTGGCCATTATTTTCGATGTGAAGAACAACGGGCGCCGACCGCAAGTCAAACGTCGGGGCGGTGTTTAACGGATGCATATATGAGTCGATGAATGGCTGCAATTCGGTGAACGCCTGCCAACCGAGCGCTATATTCCGGCCGAAGTCATAGGCGTTCACCTGAAGTCTGTCGTCGTGTCCGGAGAGCTGTAGCGCCGACTGACAGCTGTTGGCCTGAAGACTGCCGACGCGCAAGAAGTTTCTCTCTTCCCAGAAATCTTTGCCGGCGTTTGTTGTGGGAAAAGTGGATTCAGTTTCGATGATAAACTGCCCCTCCATAAAGTCACCGATGGCTGTGGCCATCAGCTCAACCACTTTCGTGTCCCGGAGTTCGCCCAACCCTTTCCATACGCTGGCCAATAGGAAATCGCCCGACAGGACAGACATCTTGTTGCCAAAGTGCAGATCCATAGCCTTCTTCGACTGCAACAGAAGGCTTGGCTGAAGATTAAGTATCCCTCTGTGGATCAGATGAGCCGAGTATATCATTTCCGTCATCTCCGCCAACGATCTCTGGCGCTGAGAAATGCCGGCCGACTGTTGGGCGTCAATGAAATCGATGGAAGTGGTCGGATGTCCGGCCGCTTTAGACATGAGCAGCACAATTAGGCCCCGGGTCTGCATATTGCTGTGTCCAGTGTATGTCAAACGCCTTTTCAATACAAATATGTCAATTAATAACACAATTTTTTCAATGAATAAATTTCTAAATCAATTACACGTTTGAATGGTTTTAATAAAAAATATGTGAAATTAGATAATAAATAGATTAAATTGTAAGTCAGATGTCGAGAAAAAAATGGTGTCAAACAATAAGATAATTGAATTAGAAAAAAAGTTTTATAACAACAAAAAACCAATGGTTCCCATACTTAGCGGTCTCCAGAAGCGGATGATTAGTTCCGACCAGTTTTCGGAGATGAAGCGCAACGTTGGATATCTCGTCGCTGAGAAGACACCTTAAGCTGAAATAGGATGTGGAATAGCCCACAATCTTCTCGGCGTCGCTCATAGCCCTATCCCAGTCGGGACTGGCACTCGTCACCGGTTCACTGTCCGCACCGACCGATGCCTCCGACGGTGTGCCGCCCGCGGAGGGCACCGACGACATGAGCCGGACATTTGTGGTCACTTTTTGGCCAAACCATAACAGATTTCTAGTCAATGATTGCATGTTTCGTTGGCATCAAATCCATACACAATTGGGTCATAAAACTCAGCACAAGTTCAAAACCACTCATCAGTCGTCAAAGAAATGTATAGTAAGAAAAAAATTGCTGTAAAAAACTTTTTTGCTCTCAAGATGTGATGTAAGTGTATGTGTGCGGAGAGCGAGAGAGAGAGAGAGAGAGAGAGAGAGAGAGAGCCTCTGGGAGAGAGAAACAGTTAGCCCTGTGTTTCTGGTACTGGAGAGATGTGCACTTTTTAAGGTGAATAGCCTTATATTACCTAATTTTTTATTTCACTTCTCGTATATATTGTGTAAGAAATAAGAAAAAACATGTTTTAAAACTCTCGGAGAAATAACTGCAGTTATGTTTGAAGTTTGTGTGAATGGCGTGTAAATAGTATTTTGTTGTTTTATGGCTTGTGTTTTGTAATGAATACCATCTCAAAGTATTATACAGTTAGCGTTGTATGAAATTGTTTTGTAAATATTATTTATTAAAATATCTATTATTTAAAACATATCTTTAAAGTTTCTGTAATTTCAGAATAATGTTTACACAAATGGATAACTTATATACATTTTTAGTTAATTTTTAAAACCATATTTAGATGATTACCAAATTAGTTCTTAGAAAAGGTTTAATAAATTTTTTATAATCAGTTATTTTATCATAATAAAACTTGATTAAAACATATTTTTAAAAAAGTCTGGTAATTGCTTTGCTTGTAATAGAAATTGAAATAAATATGGTAAATATGCTAGAATACAAACTTGCATAGTTTGCATGTTTTAATTAATGTGATAAATACACAAAAAAGAGTTATAAATATAATTTATAAGATATTCAAATAGAGAAATACGAATAGGAATGGCATTTAATTCCTGACTTACAACTCTTCAACGAATGGCCCACTC